TGGTAATGATGATGAGAAGGTGGGGGTGGGGAGGCAGGTAGGCATGAAGGAAAGCAAGTAGACTGAAAGAACAAGGTTGAAAGAACAGCTGTGTGATTTTATTCATTTTTAAATGTGGACACTTCTTACTCTTTTTTTTTTAATTGGCCATATTTTCAAGCAAGTTTACTTCAGGAGGGAAGATCTGACCGATTTTCAGTGGAGCTAACATCTGGAAGAGCCTCTACAAAGCACAGGTCTTTTGAAAAAGCCACCTTAATCTTTAACAATGCAACATATGACAGTAAGATTCCTCCAAATACTGTGAGTGAAGACTCATTCTGGCTGCAACATCTACCACTCACTCTTAAGGATAAGGTGTCTAGACAGCCTGAGAGGCCATATTGGACCCACACAGATTTTGAAAAGAAATTGTTCTTCATTAACATATGCAGTCTAGTCTTAAATGTCCTCAAATGGGTTATTCATTTTATGGATTTCTGAGGCAAAAGCTTTAATTTAAGATTGACTGTTCTGTCACCATCAGGTAATACAAGCTTAGAACTGCAGATTCATTTCAACAGTAGTATGATCGATCCCGAAACACGAAAATAAATCTGGTTAAAAAATAATGTATTTCAAGCCAAGAAATTTATTAAGTTCTGAATTACCAATGCTAGTGCTCTCTACACTAGCAGAGAAAGTTAAATATACTTAAAACATGATGCTGTCCTTACCATAAGCTCTTGAGGAGAATCCTGCCATAGTCTTGAGACTTCCCCACAGATCGGTACAATGAGAGACAAACACAAGCAGAACTCAGCATAGTGAGTAAGGTGCACGAATACAAAAACTTCTACAAGAAATCTTATGTCTCCTGGCTGATACTTTTAAGCCAGGATGGTCCAGAAGAGAAGCAGGAGTCACAATGTACCGGTGCCTGCCTGATTCCTTGTCCCTGAGTTCCTGAACCAGAAGGCTCAATACTCCTTATTATATCCATCCTTTGTTCAAGGACCTACAATGACTCTATTGACCCTTCTATCAACACACAACAGAGTCTGGCCACTGAGTCTCCTCCACCCTCTTGCTTGCTCTACCCAGGACTTGACCAACCCACATTCTCTGCAGTCACTCTCTTTTATTCCGACAAACACAACTTCGTCATTCATACTGTACATTCTATACTTTCTGCCTGGAAGATCTTTTCTTTACTCCCAACATTTACTTGAATGCTCACACATATTTTATAGATAAGGATGAAGTACATTGTCCAAGGTCACATAGTATTAATCTCAACCAAGATATGAACCAAGTTTCATCCAACTCTGTAGTCCCTGCCTCTTTGTGACTCTAATCCATTGCCTCCGAAGTCCATTTCAAATTTTACTGATTCAGAAACAGCCCCTAATTCATCTCATTCTTCTTTTGTTACTTCAAGTTTTCTAGACTTTACATACTGCATTTATGGCAATCATATTTGGTTTTGTTTCTATGTTGTTTCCTAAATGTTAAAGCTTATAATAGTCTGCCTTTCCATTTACTGTATACCGCCTTCCCTAACCCCACCCCATCCCAAGGGCAAAAACACCTGTCTTTACACCTTTTATATCTTCCCAAAACCTGTCACTGGAGTCTAGAGACTGATTTATCCACCTCAGTATTCAAACATTATTTGGCAAGGACTTCTTACTTAAAAAAAAAAAAAAAATCAACTCCCTCTTTCTATCATATTAAAAAATCAACTGAGTTCTGGCATTCATGATAAAACTGCCCTGCAACTACATTCCAGTTCCACAGATTTTAATTATCTAAATTTATCAGGGGCTGTTGAGAAAATTCCAGTCTGCCATTGCACAGCTCCCACAGGAACCTACTGCTGAAGTCACATTTTAAAGCGATGTTTAGGGAGTCTTCCCTTGACGGGATGAATGTTTAGAGTGAGAAGGGGTGCTTCCTTACAATGTCCTATGCCAGCATCCTTAGCATGCCTGAGACATTTAGGACCGCTAAAGCTTTTGACAAATGTTACTCAGTGCCCCCCATAACAAACTGAGAACTTATTTTTAGTACTGAGTTATTCCATCATAATTCACTTGGTTAATCATATTGAATCTCAAAATTCCAAACAAAGCCTTCTGAAAACTGGGAATAGTGGTGGGCTATTAGGCTGCCCTATACTTAACCTTGGTTTATTTAACCCCTCAATCCTCACTCCTATCCACTCGGAATTATATATGTAGTTGAACTAGGGAAAGTTGCTAAATACAGACATAATAGAATTTACCAAATATGATCACTAATATCGACACAAACCAACTCACATATTGAAAGAATTATTGATCAGCAGACTCTGAGAGGATGTGTGATTTTTAAAAATTAGATTTTACCCTCCAAATTAAATTTTCAATAGGTGTGCCAAAAGAAAGAGATTAAGTAAAGGTTCAGGAAAATTTCCAAGTTGCTGGTGACATAACTCCACCAAGTCCAACTAACAATTAGCATTCATTACTGGTCAGCCTGCCTTAATACAAGTCAGCAGACAGCCCTTCCTTTGGCAAAGGTTTAGGTGGTGTTTTTATTCACAAGGAAGTTTTTGGCATTAAATGAAAGGGGTAAGTCAAATCTGGCAACAACAAAAAAATTAGTTATAGTTTGGGAAATATCTTCCTTCCATTTTCCCTTCCTGCTGGAATGCATAAAGTCCAAAGTGGATAGCTGTTCAATTCTAAATTATTCATGTTAATGGATAATTATCGGCAGAAAGGTGCTGATAATCCAAAATGGGAAAATTTTTTAAATAACCGATTTCAGTTTTGGAATATCTTTTCAGCATATTTACCCTCTCAATTATTCCTAGCATGAGCTAATATTTGTATTCATTTGCAATCCCAAAGTACATAGTAACTGGCCACTTATTCAGGGAGGTGCTCTGAGGCACACAGGGTAGCTAGTGGAAATTATAACAGACCCGTATTCAGACTCCAGATGAGCAACATCAACTTCATTTATTTTACAGTTCTGTTCAGCCTTCAAAATATCAACAGACTAGCACAGCAGGATGGTTAGTAAACTTTAAAAGGACTGCTCAAAAAACAATGAGGACAAAGAGTATAATTGTTTGCCTATAATGTATTCATTTGTAAATTATGCAGAGCAAATGTTTAATTACAAGTCTGATTCTCCCTAGCCACCTGGCTTAAGTCCCTGCAGTCTTCTCCACCCCACCAGGAACGCAATCTCGTTTACTCTGAGGGACATTTTTAAAGTTATAGAATATAGAAAAATGTTTTTAAAAGATTTAGGATTAGCTACCCTTTTGGACTAGCCGTACCACCACTTCTACTTTGTCCTTTCCCACCTTAGAAATAGATTCTGAAAGACAAAGGGATCCACCTCCTCAAAGGTCTCCAAAATATACAGCATGAGAAGACAAAGACTGAAAATGTACCCACTTCGGATTTTCGAAAAAGCATTTTAAATAGGTCCTTATGAAAAGATAAGGAAAAATAAGAGCCAAAGTCCCGCTAATTCTTGCTTTTGCCTTTGTAACTTCTGAAGAGTCTGCAGAGAACCTCACATAAAATTCCATCCGTCCGTTTCTTTCAACTTAACATTTCTATCTGCGCTGTGCCCAGAGGTAGACGGGCTACCTAGACGGCGGGCGCGGGAGGAGGGAGGCTCAGCCCGGTGCTGCGCGCCGACGGCTAAAAATACGCCGGCCCAGTAAACAAATCCCATTCCGTCCCGACCGAGCGCACCGTTAACCCAGTAATTACGAGCAGAGGAGTGAGATCAGCAGCCCCCGGCTTACTCATCACCAGCGTCTAAAGTTTCCATCGGCTCACGGCAACTTTGCTTTTTTCTTAAGTTCACCCGCCGGCCCTAGAATGGCTCGCACACACTTTTCCGCTCCCTTCCTCCATTACCGGGCGCACCTCCGTTCGGCTATCGACAGGGGAGAGCACGCTTGTCTTTCCATTTTACTTCTATACGGAGACTTGACCATGAACTTTATCCGACTGTGGGGTAGTCGCCTGCACTCTAACCACCTACGACTCCACCATCCCTCCCCGAAAGTCTCGCTGACACCGTCCGAACTGCCCCGCGCACTTGGGGGACCAGGATCGGGGGAGGGAGAGGGGAGAGGACGCGGGCACAGGTGAAAGGGAGGAGTAACAGGGAGGAGGAGACGAAGCCGGGGACAGTCAGGGCGAGGAGGGGTGCCCAGAGGCCCCGGCCCGGGGCGGGATGTAATCAGAAAGGAGAAGGGGGACCGTGGAGATCGGAGGGTCAGAGCTGGGGAAACTGGAGGGGCGGG